GTGACTTCTTCTGAATGTTATACAATTGATAATAACCTGATAAGGAGAGAGAGAGGGGGGAGAGAGAGAGAGAGGGAGAGAGAGGGGGGAGAGAGAGAGGAGAGAGAGAGAGAGAGAGAGAGAGAGAGAGAGAGAGAGAGAGAGAGAGAGGGGGGGGGAGAGAGAGAGAGGGGGAGAGAGAGAGAGAGGGAGAGAGAGAGGAGAGAGAGAGAGAGAGAGAGAGAGAGGGGGGGGGGAGAGAGAGAGAAAGAGAGAGAGAGAGAGAGAGAGAGAGAGAGAGAGAGAGAGAGAGAGAGATCTGTAATTACACATACATGTACATATGTAGCACAAGGGTAAAAGGCAGCATTAATTTAGTACATAAAACATGATATAGTGAGACTTATTGGCGGTAAAAATTGTGATAAAATTGACTAAATTTATAAGTAATCTTTGATGATTTCGTCATGTCTTGTCACATGGCAAGTAATAATTTATGCAATCTTTCGTTTGGCATTTCCTGAAATTTGCCAACTTGCAAAGCAAAGAGAGAGAAATCACACGATTGCCAAGTGTTAATGTAAATGTTCATTACTACGTATTGTATAGTAATGAACATACATGTATACATTAATTTATATTCAATTTATACTCTACCTTGCTGTCCATTAACAAACTGAGATACAGGAGTAGATATAACAAAATCCTCCACTTTACTGTAATCAGTACACGGTATCCATTCCTTTGGTGGTATGATCTAACGAAAAAAGAGAGAGAGGGGTTCAACTTTTGGCCCTCCCGTGACGGTACAGTAACACCTTAGCTATCCCGTGATTGTGGGCTCCCTGGCTCTCCATATACGCCACGAAGGAAGAGAAGTCTCTGAACTCCTCCATGCTTGGAGTAAAGACCATAATCCCTCCTTCATAATGATAGTTTGTTGCCCCAGACATTCTTCAAAGCTCTCTCTCCGTGCTCCTCCTTTTTTTTTTTTAGGGTTGATAATTATGCGTGGGCATGTTGCTAGGGAAAATTTTACAGTTAGATCTACCCGTCTACTGTATACCTTTTAATTAGATAGCTCATTATTTGCAAAAGTTAAAGTTAAGTCTATCATACACGGGGCAGCATTGTTGCATGCAACTTTGTGGTTACATTGATCTTGTTGCCTCAAGTTAAGCAGTAGTCCACTTGAGGCAACAAAGATCGAGGTTGCATGCAACAATGTTGCCCTCCATATGATGCCTTTAAAAGCGAGGTTAAAAAAGTATGATAATCTCAAAAATAAGATGAATATCAGTTTATATTGCTGCATTCACCTTTTTTCCTTTTACTCTGATGCATGTGAAGCTAAGCTCATGCATAAGATCTACATAAAGATCTATGAATATTCATCGATCACGCCCAATGTTATTTATCATGCATGCACGTGCGCATGCAGCATTTTGTCACCTTGTACTGTAATTAATGAGGTCTATAATTGATTCTTCACTGAATCAATTGGGCTTCGGCTCCAGCGACTCCAGTGCTCATTAAGCTAACACTTTAGATGACGGTAGAACCAGACTCACTTACTATAGCGGAGCCTATAAAGACTTCTTACCACCAGATCCTAATAAAGATGAAGTGCCCTCGTCGCTCGTTAGTCGGCAGACGTCGGACATTTTGTGGCAGACTATTGGCCATTGGGCTCATTTCTTTAGCATTGTTATACTTATTTGGATTCTTTGATGGCTGGGTCATGCCAAATGCTGAAAAAGGCGTACATACAAGACAGATCTTGGAAAATTCCAAGAGACCAAGTCCTGACGCGCCTGAGACTTATTCCCTTGTCACTGAAGATAAAGTGAGTTTAAAACGAACAGTCGATTTCTCAAATTTGCACTTGTTTACAACGTGCTCTCTCAATGAGCAACAGATAGTGCTAGCAACAAAATTACTCTATTCCGAATATAGTGTACAAGATACTTTAAATTCTTTATCTTTGTTTCTCTCGCTCTCGCTCTCTCTCTTTCTATAGGATAAGTTTCATTATCATCCCAAATCAATGGACGAGCTCTGGACTAAAGTCACACCTAAAACAATAGTAAGCTACACATGTACATAGTAGTAGCTAGTGTGAAATTTACATTGACACTCTATTTCTAATAATACACCTTGTACTATAGCACAATCACCACCATTGTTAGAGCAGGGTACAAATGTACTGGTACATTATCCCTATTTGGGCAACTGCTTTACAGGAGACTGCATAATCCCTGCAAAAGTAGTTTTAAAATTTTTATTTTGTTAAGTGGGTGATTTATTTTTGAGGACAGCAGCTAAGCAGCTGTTACTCCCTTATAAGGAAGGTAAGGCAGTTGCAAAGATAATACAATCTCCTGTTATAAGGCACTATAGAAGAGCTTAGAGCAAAGGATCATTATAAGCAACTTTTAAAAACTGCAGCATTAACAGCATAAAGTAAAGAGAAACTAATAAATGTAGACCAATAAAAAGTCATTATTATAAAAAATAACATGTACATGTTATTTTTTTAACATGTACATGAAAGCACATGTACCGTAAATGCTCAAATAAAAGCCCGGGCGTTTATTTCTTTGCAGGACAAAAAAATTGTGTAAAGTAAAATAAAAAAATGTAAAACTGGGATTCCAACTCGGGACTCTAGGATCAATGACCTGAGCTTATCAAGTTAGGCCATTTGGGACACTGAAGTGAATGCTACTAGTGTTGTTTTAGTTACAAAATTTAGTTTTAGTTTAGTAACTATTAGTTTTTCCTCTTTTTTATTAAATTAGTTAGTTTATAGTTTAGTTTTGCCCTTTTATCAAGAGTTTTAGTTAGTTCTAGTTAGTTTTTTTTTCAATGAAAAAAAATTTAGTTAGTTTGTAGTTAGTTAACTAAATCTTTGCATGCTCATAGTTAGTATTAGTTTTAACAAATTTAGTTAGTTATTTTAGTTAAATCGCTTGAATGGCTATAGAAATTGCTTGTTAGTCTTTAAAATCTCAGTTTCTAGTGTTGCTCCACTTAATACTCATCTTTATGACACTTCAGGTGTTGTTTGAAATTTGTAGGATTCTTTCCTTTGACTCTAGCTCCACACTCTCTTTCTTCATTCCTGATGGTACAAACACTCTCATTGCTTTCTTAGTCATATGTCAAATGAT